AAAAAAAAAAAAGGGCGGAAGACGTGGAGGGTGACGTGGCGGGTGTCATAAGTCCACGTAAACATTTTTTACACGTTGGCATATCCACATCAACTATTTCAGTTAAGTTAACGTGCCACGTAAGCAAAAATTAACAGAAGGACTAAAAAGGGGCCGGATTTGTGAACAGTAAGGACCAAAAAGGGGATTTTTTCGGTACAGGGACTAAAAAGGAGCTTTTTCCTATAGTAGAGGGACCAAAAAGGGTATTTAACCAATAATAAATTATTTATTTTAATTGAAAATTTCAAAGATAATTTATCTGTCTTTTAAAGAAGGATCTGTCTCTGTTTATTGTTTGTGGTGTGTAATTGGGGTTCAATAAAAAATAATATACTAATTAATTATTATCCAATAATTATTGCTTGAGCACTGCTAGGTGCACTCGCCTCCTGCACTCTCCAGCCAACACATGCCTTTTTATTGGGCCACGTAAGCTTGCTATAGGCTATAATACGATCACCTCTCAAAACCCAAAATAACGTGGCCAATAAAAATGGAAGTGTCGGTTGGAGAGTGCAATTGGGGAGTGTCCCTAGCATTGCTCTACTTGCTTAGAGGAAATGATAAATAAATTGGGAATTAAATAAAACCTACTGGCGGATCTTCCGGATAATGGATGACACTTTCTTCAGTTTCTTGAAGCTCGGCAACCGAAGTATCCCCTGAATCACTTTCCATGGTAGGCTCTATCTGAATTGTAACCGAGCTGGAAGAAGCCATTGTCTCTTTAGGCTGTTTCACCATACATAAAACAAATTAAAAAACTTCTTACTAAAAAAATATTAAAAAAAAAAACTTCGACATGTCTTTCCAGTCTCCACGGTCGTCCTCTGGGTTCTATGATCTGTCAGAGGGTTTCGTCCGCCGTTATGCTGTTTTACCTGGGGTACAGGATCCGTCCCCCGAGTGGGGTTTCTCGGCCTTTCTTATGTTTGTTCCGGAGTTGGTGGCACTTTTTGCTCAGCTTTGAATGGTTTTGATGGGGAGTGGTTTGGTAGTAACAGCGGGTTAATGGATCGGCGGGGCTAGTGAAAAAGATTGAAGTCTAGGAGAACAATTACCAGTTAAGTTCTACCAACGACCTAATCTGAGTGGAAAGAGTTCGGTATCCCTTAAATAATAAAATTTTGAGTTCGAATCTTATGAATGAAGAAACAGACGTTGAGAGAGCTTTCCCTTAATGGGGTCCGATGCGGCTCGATTTCAAATTAATCAGACCCAAAATAGTTATCGGGTACTAAAAGGTTAATACCAAAAAAAAAAAAATTAGCAGTTAAGTTCTAAACCTGGTGGGTGTGGTTCATTTATAGGAGGATATGGAGCTT